TTTCCTATCAAACATCTATCGTCCTTATCTCCCCTTCTTTTTTTTGTGTTTGTTACTCTCTTGTAACACCTAATCTTCTGGCGCTCATATGACCTTATGCAGTTGCGAGTGCCGTAAAACCTCCACTAAACTGTCACCACGGCACTACCAGTTGACCCCATTCTGTTGCGTGGATGCGCTGTCTCTGTACTCGAACAAGCAGAGCTAATCTATTCGACGCCCGCAGTGATCATCTCCGCACGCTTGCATTTGGGGAGTATTTAAACCAACCATTGCTGCAACAAAGGTCAAAGGGGAGGAGAGAGGGAGGGGTTGTGGGTGGTAGTGCTTGTGGTGTATCTTGGGATATAATGTATTCAATGTACTTTGTTGATGTTACCTGTTACGATGACTGACGGGATGTCTCTCACAACGCTACAACAATGATGACCTGGTTTCTCTCTCTCACAACGCTACAACAATGATGACCTGATGTCTCTCACAACGCTACAACAATGATGACCTGATTTCTCTCACAACGCTACAACAATGATGGCCTGATTTCTCTCACAACGCTACAACAATGATGACCTGATTTCTCTCACAACGCTACAACAATGATGACCTGATTTCTCTCTCTCACAATGCTACAACAATGATGACCTGATTTCTCTCTCTCACATTGCTACAACAATGATGACTTGATTTCTCTCACAACGCTACAACAATGATCTGATTTGATTTGAGATCCGGTGGTCGGCCGATTGTTCTACACACAGAATCTGGGTGCATATGATATGGCTTTATTGATGTTTTTTTGTCCTTGTGAAGAGAATGGTATGTTTGTGTGTGTGGGTGGGTGTGTGTATGTGTGGGTGGGTGTGTGTGGCTAGGTGGGTGGTTGGCGAGTGCTTTGGCATCTGGTGTGGTTTGCTCCTTCTTTCCTATCAAACATCTATCATCTTCATCTCATCTCTCCTCCTCCTCTCTTCCTTCTTTACTCTGTACACTACCCACTTGTATTAGTAACGCAGGAGGTGTGGGTGGCCTAGTGGTTAAGCTACCGGACTCTTAATCGTGAGATTGCGGATTTGGGGTTCGAGTCTCTGCTAGTTCCAACACTGTGTCGTTGGGAAAGACACTTTACACAAAATTCCCACTTGGCTCGGTCCTTTCGGAGATGGACGTTAAAACTCGGAGTTCCCCACCTCTTAAATAACCTAATGGTGTTGATAGGGACGTTAACCTACTATGCCATTTTCACTAGCTGTCTAGCAGCACCTCTGATCTTTGCCATGTAGTTTACCTGCTTGTGGTTTTGCAAGTGCTGTAAAACTCTGGACTAGAACCAACCAATCAACAAGAAGGACGTTTTGGTGGAGTTGTGTCCATGTAGTGGGGAGGTAGAGCGGATGCAACGACACCGCGGTACTTGGGAGTGTACATGGAGGAGGGGGGGGGGGATCTTGATTTCCATGACAGAGCAAATCGAAACAGCTTTTCAGGGGGAAGGGGGTCCTTTTTTTTCTTTTTTCTTTTTTTTTTTTTCTTCTTTCTTCTGAATCCCCCCATAAGACTGCAGAGTTTGGCAAGATGAAACAACTATAGATCTTATATATAAATATATATATATATACATATAAATATATACAACATTATATACGTGTGCTTGTTTGAGTGAGTGGGAGAGTTTGTGCGTTTTTGTATGCGTGTGTGTGCATGTGTAGGATAGTTTCGGATTACCTTGACGAAAGAAGGTCTCCCGGAATGTTGGTATGTTTCCGGAATGTTGGAATGTTTCCGTGCCATTGCAATCTTGATATTTGTAGAGATATAATATGTAGCACAGCTGTCTAACTAGCATATTACTACTACTACTACTACTACTACTACTACTACTACTACTACTACTACTACTATTACTACTACTACTACTACTATTACTACTATTACTACTACTACTACTAAATCATTTCAAGTTGTGGTTTTTTTTTCATCGCTACTAGTTTGCTCTTGTTACTATGACCCCATAATCCGTCATTTTAGAATGAATTGTTAATAACAGAAGTTTATTCATTTTTATCTTCTTCCGTCTGAGGACTAACTTCATCATAGCCTTTTTTTTAAAGTCCGTTATTGTTGTT